GAGATCCTGGGTTCGAATCCCAGCAGTGCCTTTTCTAGCACTCAAAAGTTTGTCTTCCTCCATTGAAGAACACAGAGAGAAATGTTTGTACATGAGCGAGAGGCACTGTATAGATACAAAGGCATGTTGATGTCGACTGTAGCTCTAGTATTATAAACCAATACTCAACTGTATAAGGTACAGCTCAGTACATATCTTGGTCACAGTTCTTTAATAACCAAATGTACAGGATCTTTATCAGAAATTTAAATATGAGTATCAATATATCATTGCATAAAATTTCTAAACGGTCAAAAAATTGTATTGGCCTTTAAAAAACACTATTATTTGGGATATGTGGTAAACTGCTTGTGTGTAGATAATACGTTTAAATAATGATAAGTAGTCTAACAAAACCACAAGTTTCCTATAAAATTGCAACTTGAAATTTGCTTGTTAACACTGATAGACACATTTTAAATTAGTGTAGCATGTAGGTTGTGCAAATATAATTTACTATTATATATGATTGTTGCCTAAGTTTGCTTAAAACTGCTCCTCTTGTTTAATTTGAGTGTGTAGTCACATTAAGTCTTTTTCCACAGAACACCACAACTAAACACAGGCTCCGAGGAGACAGACTGTGCAGAAGCTGCTGCTACAGGTAATCACTTGTAGCATATGAAAAATTATAATTTTAGAGTGTTCTTAAATTCTTATGTGTTAACTACTTTATGTTACCATTTTAGCCTGGCCTCGCTTGTAAAGAGACTCTCAGGTTAAATAGTAAAATAACTAAATTGTAACTACATGTTTGCATGCTGCTGTCTTCAAACACAGATGCTTCACCAGGAGAGAAAGAAGATATAGAATTGCTTGAGCAAGCCCTGGAGAAAGCCCTTCGGGTCCGCACTGGCACAGGACCTTCTAAAAAAGACATAAACAAACAATCTGCACCTCGAAAGGAACCTAGCACTACAATTGTCACATCCAAAGAGGGAAACCAGGTATCTGCAGCTTCTAAAGGAAATCAGACCACCACCAGATCTACCTTAAAATCTGCCAGTCTAGGCAGAAAAGAGCACAAAAAGCCTGGTATGTAATCCTCAGATAGCTACAATCCTGCACAGTGTAAAACCACATTTAATAGAAGCATAATCCAGAACTGTCTTGTCTCTTTAGCTGGGATTGTGCATCACCAGGCAGCAAGAAAATCACAGCAAACAGTCTCAGCGTCCGGCGCTCTTGATCCGGGTCAGTTACACACCTCAACCCTCCACTCGAAAAACAAGACTATTAGAAGCAACGTGCTGAGTGGCAATGACCTTGTCAAAGCTGCAGCAATCTCCACACCTTCTTCAAATAGCACAGTGCCTGTATCACATACAGAGGAGTGTGGAGCTCACAGTTTACCTCGACAGAACGGGTATGTTTTTACACAGCTGACACCGTGCTAAACATTTGTTTTCTGTGCTATTATAACCGTTCTGTTTGCTTACGCTTTATGGCAGGATAGCTTCTGATCAGACAGCGAAATGGAAATCTCTTCGGAGCAAGCAGAACAGGTGACCCAAATCAGTTCAAATTCAACATTTTCCAACTGATTCTACAGTTTCTGTTTGGGCACTAAGTTTCCTTTACTGTGTTAGGTTATGGGACAAAGTTGTTGCCCTACAAAGGAAGCCTGCGCCTGGGAGGAGTCACTTCATGGAGAGAATGAGAGCTATGGTATCCTTCCTTTTTCTAGTGGAGCTCGTCAAAATGGGCTGGGAAGCCTCAGACATGTTTTCCATATTGTGTGTGGAAATATACTCTAGCATCAGTTTAGTTTGAACTCCACTGACTATATCTCTGAACAAATTTGGTTTAATAGTCTGATACCCAGCGCGTCATGCTTGACCCTGTCTCTCTGACCCTTTTTAGTTCCCCAAGGATTGGCCCTCGTGTGGTAGCCCAGACCAGACGAGGGCTCTGGTCGACAGACTGACTCACCGAGAGCATGACCTTCCCCAGCACTGCCAGACAGAGGAGCTTCTGGCCAAACAGACCCCAGAAGCAGACGCAGAGATGGGTAAAAGCCTGCCCAGAATTACACATACCGACACAGAAAAATTCAGAGTGAAGGAATGAGTAGAAATTGAGAGACACTGGTGACACAAGTGTGTGGGTGACAGAATGATAATTTGGGAAGAAACTGCACAGGGAGTTGGCAGGAAGTGACTTTCTGAAAGCTATTTAGACTGATATATCAGTGTGGAGCCTTCCCTCTGCCAATCATGCTCAGGAACTTGGAATGAGCAGTTAAGATTTTACACTTTACTGCTAACACGAGACTAATTAACACATTGCAATTAAACAAAACAACTCCACTATCTCCTTTAATAATGTTTTTTAGGTTGTCTGTCCTGTTCTTGTAAAGTCATTATCTTAGGAACGCCTCGAGGCAGTTTCACACGTCCACATGTGCTCGAGGATGAACAGATTAGATTTTGGTGGTCAAAGGTCAACGGCACTGTCATATCACAAAACACGCCTTTGGCCATAACTCAATATTTGCATATTTCACAATTAGTCCGACACTGAATTGGGGACACCTTAACCTAAAGGTCAATGTGACGTCAAAAATGATTTTTAGGAGTTGGCCGATTCCAGATTTCACAAACACGCTGACTAGGGCGACACGATGAGTAAACAATAATGGGCTTTCATCTTCCAATCTCATCCATTCTGCCTTTTCGAGCTTCATTAGAATCACGGGACTGGAAACGACGTAATGGTGCGCGCCTAGCTAATCGTGATTCTGAGAGGCTTTCCATCTAAAAATGCCAGGAGAAAACAAAAGAAATGCATGTTGTATAGCGACATTTAAGAATCCGTCTTTACATATTAATGAAGTACACGTGTATCTATTTAGCCAATACATCTATGATAATATTTCATTAATTAAAACTGTATATTCACTGAAATCATACATCAGAGTATCAATATAGGGATAACCATTTATTTATGTATTTCTTTACAGGTGGTAAGGAAAAGTATGACTCCTGTCTGACAGGTGAAAGTTTGCCGATGACAGCAGCAGAGCTCCAGAACTTTGCAGAGCAAGTGAAACAAGGTAGGAAATAATCCTGTTTCACCATAACACAACCTACCTTTTCAAACCATGCGCTAAAAGAAGTACATGTCACCGTGGTTATATGACGGTGGTCATGAGCGGAAACAAATACATTATTAAAATAATTTACTCCACAGCACACTTTCATAATAAAGAGGACATTGGGGGAGAAACCGTGACCCTGTGTCTGACTCTGATTACCCAGCTGTGTTTGAATTATCATGTCTGGGTGTCAGGGTATCGCTCATTACAGTATGTAACATGGTATAATTTCCATTACCTCCAACGATACAATTATCATGAAGCCGAATGCCCAGAGATTTTCCATTCACACCGCTCAAATGACCGTATCACCTTCAGGGAGGGAGTTTTGTTTATGTTTACCAGTTATAGCTCCAGTGCAGCACAAGTATGCTGCTGAAGCCAGCGTGATAGAGAAGTTTCCAGTAATTGCGAACTCCCTGCCTAGCCCACACACATCCATCTGGTGCTGTGACCATATGTGTCCAATCTAGCACCTCACATCCACACTTCAGCAAGGGATGTATTGTTTATTGCATTTTAACAACATTTGACAAAAGATTGTGATGGATGTAGTGTGCTAACGAGCTAATGCAGCCCCTCCATCTTGGTGTATGGAAAATGAAAACAGAGCTGCAGTGAAACCTCAGTGCCAGATCAGTACTTTCCTTGGCCTCGACAGATCCCCCTCCCTGTGACGGTGGGGTTTTAAACGCGTCTATCCTGACGCGGCTAGGCGAGGACCCAGCTATTTAAAGCTGAGGCAGCAGAGCAGAAAAACGTTTTAGGGTACGGTTGCTCACGCTCTAAAAATAACCATATTTTCCATCAGAGTGGGAAGCATGGGATCGATGGAGGCCGGAGGGAGGTTGTCTTTGCCCCACTGGGGCAAATGGTGTGTGGGGCGATGGGATGATTGTACCCCTGCCCCCGACTGTAACCTACACAACAGAGGCAGAGCTCCGAGAGCTGGAGAATCTGAGGATGAGGGTGGCACTGCTGCAGCAGGACATATACCTAGAGCAGGTAAGGGCTGTGCACCTGGTAAAGCAACAGTTCATCAGCTTCCTAATTGTGCTAATTGATTTGATGTGTGTTTAGTTGAGTAGTCAGTAACAACTAAGAAATAACGTGCTGACAGTCTCTTCCTCTATGTGAAAGGCTCTGTTGGAGAAGCTGTTCCCCCAGCTTTCGTCTGTCGTACCTGGGCCTGGATGTCCAAACATCACTGTGCTGAGAGATGTGTACTCCCTGCTGGGGGAAGGAGGGGAGCGTTTCCCTGCCATAGTCCAGGATTCTGAGCCTGACTGACAGAGCATTTTACACCAACTTACCAGTTTATAAAGTACTCTGTCCACCCCCATTCTCACACACAAGAGAAACACAATGCAATCCAGGGCAACACCAGTTGAATCATAACCCTCTGACACTGTCAAGTGTATTATAAAACTCAAATGTAAATAATATTGGATTGACTGAGCTGGTGTACCTAATAACTAAGTAACTTAACGTATATAATCCTTGAATCAAGAATCGAGATGATTATTATATGTTTATTTTTAGAGTGCTGTGACTGTATTTATTCAGTGTCTGATGCCATGTAATGTATGATGTAAAAAACAAGATAGTGATTGTTTATCATTTTTCTTGAATGTTGTTAATAAATGTGAAGTGCTGTAGTTACATTTTTGGTGTTGTCCTATGAAAACCAAATGTCTCCAAATCGTTAGCTTTTGTAAGAACTAAAAAAAGACCCTCACTTCAATATTTCTCAGATAATCCAGTTGGTTTATTAAATTGTTTATTTAGTATTTAGCAGAAGAATGTTCTCAGCCCATAAAGGGACACACCCTTTAGATTATCTGAAATATTAAAAACCACCAAATTTGGAGAGATAGGAACAGATGAAGGGAGACAGGAAATGGGTGATAAAGAAGGGATGACCTGCAGTAAAGGGCCTTGGGCTTGAATTGAAACCAGGCCACCGTGCTAAGGACTTGGCCTTAGTACGTGGTGCGTGCTACTGGGGCACCCTCATGGTTTTCGCTGGACAGCAACGATTTATAAATGTTTACATAAATCTATACGATATCACATTTACTACATGATATCAGCATGGCAATTACATTTCACAATCTGGACATTTGTAAATCCATGTGATCTTAAATCTTAAATAAGCATTCAACAGCTTAAATTAAATATGTATATATTGTATATTTAATAACCATACCTAGAGTAAAGTGTAATGGACTTAACCTGGAGTCAGTATTGGAGCTCACTGATTGTACCAGCAGGTGGCACTCAACTCACAGAAGAAGTGACCACGTAACACACTGGCAGGTGATTAATGTCAGTCGCTTGTTTAGCTATTCCTGTTTCATCAAAAGCAATCAATTGTCAGTTGGATTTAATCTGTGACCTGGAATTACGTGGGGAAATAAGACTAGTGTTCATAAAATACAAACAAGTAATGGCTAGCTGGTGTGTGGATTTCAGTGGAACATTGGTTTCTCATCCTATTTTAATCCTGTGTTTTAATGAAAGCAGCAGGGACGCCATGACTTTAGGCTCAGCCTCCATGTGTTCCAGTTTCTTCCCACTGTCCGGCAAATCAGAGTTTCTGAGGAGCTCAAAATGTGAATGTGCTTGTTGGCCATGAGATGGACCTGCAACAAGCCCTATAAACCCCCATACTCATACATATTGTTTCTCTATACGATGTGTTTGATTTCCATCCTGGGCTTTTGAAATCTGGCATACACTGAATGATGAATAACGCCTATGGAGCCAATACTATGTCTCTGATCTGAGAAAACTGGATATCGTGGTTCTGATGTGATCTGAGGGCGTATGTGAGATGCAGGAGGGCTGAGAGAGGCCTAAAAGGCCCGTGCCCACAGATGACGTGTGGATGGCACGGGCTGTGCCAGACTGGGCGACAGGTGGCGCTGGGTTCACACAGCGGGACGTGGGTGTTTGAGCCCTGCTGCACCAATCCTTATCTACACACATACGCAGGGACATGCACACCCAAAGCCGGCTGAGTCACAAAGACGGTGCGCTTGGGGGCCTGGCTTCAAGCTGGAAATGGCATGTTTCCCTGAGGAGAGGAATAAAAGATTATAAAAGGGAGAGAAATATTTCAGCTTGTTCGTTCCCTGTGTTTAAAAAACAACAGGCCCACAAACGCTGAAGCAACTTATGGCTTAAATCAGAAATACACCCACAAATGTTCACAAGATCTCCTCTTTACCAGCACCAGAAGTGTCTCACCATATGTGGATTGCAGCCAAGTCTTCTGTACGGGACTGTAGCAATGTGCTGCAGGCTTCTGGTCCACCCATACAGTCTTGGATCAGTTTGTGTGAAGGGAGTAAAGTAGGAGGCAGGGAAGCATCCTTGAGAGCACGTCAACACTACACACAGGTCCCAGAGGGAGTGGCGCCTACGCAACTCAGCCTTCCTGTGACCTGCATACATCAGCTGCTGCCTGGTTCTGGCTGTCACCAGTAGAGCTCTTTCACTCCCACCACCATGGCCTGGCCCTGCCCAGGTTACCCATGTCTCACGGCTTTGTCCCATGTTTTCTATTCCAAGGAAACTTTACTTTCCATGGAAGAAGCTTCATTTTGTTTCCAATGTCACAAAAACTCTCACACAGAGGACAGAGTTGAATAGTCCTTTCTTTTTAGCACACATTCCTTCCTACTTGTTCACTTTTTTCACCCTTTTCATTTTTTTTTAGCCTCAGTCCAATGAGGTGCTAGAGTTCAAGTACAAATCCACAGAAACCGAACAGTGCTACCAAGAATCCACTTCGCTCCTTCAAATGCCCATTGCTATTGAACATCTCTTTTCTCCTGCACCCCGCCCCTCACAAACACATTCCTCACTTTCCCTCTTTTACTCCTCTTTTGCTCGTCTACAGCTCTCTTGCCGATTGAGCTACAGCAGAGATCGTTAAGTCGTTGTGATCATCAACTAGACTGCATTAGGGTTTATTATTTGATTTCGCCCACCATTCAGCCGCTCTAAGCCAGCTTCCTCCGTCAAGTTGAATTTTTCTGTCAAGACCAAGAATAAAGCGTCTAAACTAAAAGCAGTTGTCCTGTGGAGACTGAGGCATGTTTGGCTTTTATATGAGAATATTAGGTATCTCTTAATCTAATAATGTCTGCCTTGTGGGCATTAAAGAGCAGGAATCTTTTGATCTAATTATGAGGAGAACAACTGTTGTTAAGCTGAAGTCTCTTTTACAAACGCATAGAGATGTTTTTAAACCCATAATTAAATGGTTGCTGCTCACCCACATATCTTCTCTTTAGATTCTCAAGATGTAATGGACTGTAAAGTTTCAAGAGATTACTTTTTAAGACATATAGTGGGGGTCAAATCATTTTTGGGACATGATTTTATGCATGGCAATGGTGCCTATTGTCTCATCACACATCCTTTAAACACACATAGCCATTGTTTGTTTCCCCTGTAACTGAGGTAACAGTACACATGAATTCCAATGCTATTCAGCAACAAATTCCCATAATCAATATTCAGTTCACAGTTCATTTTTAAAAAGCTTTGAAAGAAAAAAGAAGATACAATGTTGCCAAAGTAGATCCAGTAATGCCTGAGATAACAACATAGACATTTAGCTGTGCACACACATTTATCCTTCCCTAACGTAGCTTTTCAGATGTGGAGGAGTGAGATTAGCAAGTTCAGGAGAAGAAAGCTGTCTGGATTGATTTTATTTTTATGGAAGAGAGTGACGCGCATACTGGAGGATTAACTACTACTAGGTTGCCTTTCATTCAGAAAGGACTGATACCAGCAGTATGTGTAGGTGGCAAAGGAGTGGGGGCTGCCCGTGTTTTTCTGTCGTATGTGGGCATGCACATTAGTGTATTTACACTTTCATCATAGAGGCACTATATATTTGATGTCCTCCTACAAATCGCTGTCCTCAGGTGCCTGCATGCACATGAAAGAAGGACGGTTTAGCTGGTTGTAGGATTTGTGTTGGCTGTCCATGTCCAGTGTGCGATGTGAACACCATTACTGTATAATTGCCACAATGAGGTGACACATCTGTGCTGTTAGAGTGTGGGGTGAGATTCCCCTTCCCCCAGCAAGTATATGCAAAACGGAGCTTTCCAGGGGGGGAATCCCCTTTCTCCTCTGATTTCCAGTCAGCAGTTGGTTTCTGTATTCCCGAGGAGGGGCCTTTGTACTGCAGGAAAACAAAAAAAAAAGACTGCAATTGAGAGGCAGTGATGAGGAGATGAAGAAAAGAGGGAGCAGTTAACTCTACTCCCCTCCCCCTTCCTGTGTTTCGTCAATCCCTATTCTGTTTGCTTCAATGTTTGACGTCACAGAAGAGGAGGCCAATCAAAGCGCTTGGACTTCCCCGTTTTTCTACCCTAGCTCCTCCCCTTTCCATGGTCCCTTATATATCCCCCACCACTACATTCAGCAGAGTGTACAATGTGCTGCCACAGAGCCAGCAGGCAGTTTACAGAGAAACAGCCAGAGAGGGAGGGAGAGAAGGGGAAAGTGTGAGTGGATTTCAGCGCTGACTTAGAAGCCTTCATCTGACACGCTCCAGCTATTCCTGCTCAAGTCATTTCTCCGGTCTCATATAGACCTCCTTCCTCTCTTTTTCTGCCTTTCTCTATTTCTTTCTGTGTCTCCAGGCTAGAACTGACTACAGACGGGATCCAAGAGGCCAACGCTGCAGCCTGGTCTCAGGATCCACTGGCCCACACCACCAGGATGGGCTGTACAACGGGCCACCTGGCTTGCCAAACCCAGCCCCAAAACAACTCGGGGCAGGAGGGTCAGTCCCTGGAGGCCGGTGGTGCCAAAGTGCCTGAGGTGCTCTCCTCTCTGGAACGTCTGTCGCAGGCCACGGGGGGCATGGAAAAGTCCTGGTACCGCTGCATCTTTCCCTTTGGAATCATCTCTTTGGTGATTGGTATAGCAGGAACAGGTGTGACCTACACCTATAATGACCTGCCTCAGACTAAAGTGGTGTCGGTGGTGCTACTTGTCATGGGTCTTTTGCTGTTGTTCATGGCCACCGCCTGTTGGACTGTCCACAAGAAGAAGAGAAGGAAAAAGAAAGAGGGAGGCTCATTCACCTCTGAGCAGTGTCCCCTGTGAAGCACATGGGGAAAACAGTGATAGGACCTCGAAAGCAAAGACATACCCAGGGCTGGGAGCTCAAGGGTTGGCTGAAGAAGCCAAATCCATTCTATTCTTTATCACAGAGTTTGGTTCAGCTAACACAAGAGAGAACTTGGGCTGAGAAATCATAGAGAATGGAAGGACAGATAGACAGGACACTGGGGATCTGTTTAGTCTGTAAGGTTTGGACCATTTTGGATTGGCAAGGAGGGATCACCAATGCCTCACACGTTCTTTTATCATCAGACAGCAGGTGTCCAGTGTCAAAACAACCTCCGAGGAGACACACAAATATGCATTGCGTACTGCATGCATATTTACACGCACGGATACATGGCCCTCGCAGTCCTCACTCCCATATGCACTGGCAGTCACAGTGGGAGCTCGCGGAGACACCTAACACGCTATGCAGAGCTGCTGCTGGAGTCAATGCTAGCGTCACTAGGCACGTCAGTGACAGCATTCCTTCTCCCAGGACAGGTGACTCTCCAAGAGGCCAGAAGTGGGCCAAAGACGGCAACCTGATCCCCAGCCGAAAGAGCAGTGCACCCGCGTCAGTGGCCAGCGTCATTCACTCGTCCTGTGACACCGCAGCAATGTGTTAGGGGCTTTTTTTACGCAATGGGAGAGTGGAACTTGAGTCCAGCAGGATCTTACTGGCATCTGTGTGGACGATGAACTGGAGAGAGGGCAGAGGACCTGCTGGGGAAGAGGAAGGTGTTTGTTTGTGCTTAAATAAAGATTCTTTTGAACTAAGAGACTATTAGATCTTGGACTTCACTACTGAGGAACAAAAGATTTGCACAAATGGCCCCATGTCCATGCTTAGCAAGAGCAACTTTTAGTAAAGCAACATACTCTGAAAGGCCTTTTGTAGCTTCAGCTTCACATTACAAAGGAGTGGGGCATTGACGTTCTGGCTGACTGATTGCCCTCCTGTCAATATGCGAGCATTTACACCCAGCCTAGTGTCTTCGTGGGGCACCTTAACTTCACACAGGGCAAGCCAGGATTATTGAAGGACACTGCCCGAGGGGACATGCCACTGCAGGGACACTTTGACTGATCCTGCTCCCCTACGGCCCCTCCCGCTTGGTGCCTTGAGCAAGCACTCATGGAAAAAAGCTCTGTCGCATTCCCCCATTTCCATTTGAACCCCCGAGAATTGCCCCCCCTGTTCTCTCTCTCTTTACCCAGGCAGGGCTGTCCTCGTTCATCCCATATGCCTTTCTCAATCCTCCATGCCCAGTTTCTAACTTGAGCCCACTCATTTCAACAATTGTGATATAGTCCAGGAAGGAGTGTGTACAGCGCCTTTTGACACACAAGTTAAAACACACACATACACTTAAATGTAAGCCCCATAGTCCACATACATTTGACATTATCTTCCTGTGCCAAAGAAAGTGGATTATTTTCTCTCTCAGAGTAGAACGAATATTGAAATTGTCTGAAAATAGGATACAAGGCTGTTCTCTCATGAATACTGATTAATGTTTGTGCTCTAAGGGACTCTGGGGTTTCCCTTTCCTACACTTTTTCTTTCAGAGAGAATGAGCGAATGTAGCTGCGTTCAGCTCCACATCTGTGAATAGGTGCTTTCTGTTGGTGTGTGGTCTCACAGGATGGGACACACAATGGCATTTTATTCTTGTCTTAAATATTCTTGTTTATGTCACTGAATGTAGGGTGGAGAATGCGAAATCACTGAAGGAAAAAGTACATTGTACAGAATATGTAGAAATTGAAAGGAGTCTATACCGTGTGTCTCCATGTGAAAGACTGTATACTAGCACCCCTTTACCCTTGAGAACTATAATTGATCACTGTTGCATCGATTCTGGCTACCAGATTAGTGGCGCTTGTTGCTGAGTAAAATGTGTCTATGCATCCAGAGGTAGCAGTTAACATACAATGCCAAAGACTGACCTGAAGACCAGCTTGCCAATTACAAGGTTGCATTTGCCTGCCTGCTTCAATAGACATGCAATGGATCAGTCCTTTCTCGATTATATTTTTCAGCTTGCAGCATTTAGATGTTGTGTTGCATACTGATTGTCAGTCAAACTCTGTTAGTTTAAACAAAGGGAAGAAAGGGGAAATAAGTAGGCAATGGTGTAAGACAAAAGCAGAAACAGGGAATTCATTCCTTTCACTTTTATGTGAGAGTAGGGAGCGATCCCTGCGGGTTAGATTGGGATCAGCCATCCTGAACAGAGCAGTATTATTCTTAGGGGATATGATGCATTACTGGCAGCGTAAGTGAAAAGGCCAAGGCAATGCAGTGGTGTAGTCTGAGATGAGAGAATCCCCAGTATGACAGTGCATTAGTTTCTGACAATGACAACACTCCCACTTCTACTCTGCCCTGAATTTTGGCTTGTGTATCAATGCAATTTTCAAATGTATAAAACACATTTACTATGTAGTACATGGTGGTTGCATAGTTGTACTTGCTCATTTTCAAGCTATATTGTGCCAGGTGACCAGAATTTGTGTGTTAGAGATGTGAAGTGATTTCCCTTCTGCCTTCTTGAAAAATTAAAGGGAAAATCTACCTCTCTCTGCTGCAGGGGAATTATGTCCCTCACCCAGTAGACAGCCATGCTGTCCGCCTATGCTGTTTGTCACTCCAGTGAGTGACACAAAATATGTTTGTGTACCCTCTAATATTTGGTGCTGTATATATATGACTATTTTATATTTCTACTGTATATTTCTACTTATATGTACATTTTAATTGTTGTATTAAATAAATGTTAAGTGGACACTTTGTTGTGATGTTCAAGTTTATAGACTGAGGAGAAACTCCCCAAGCATTTATTATATGTAACTTTGTATTGAACTACTTTGCTTTGGGAGATTATTCAGAATCATCCAAAGGGTAGAGACGATGGTTCCTGATAAATCTGGGAGATCGTTTGGACAGGGCTAAAAATAGACTGGTAGATAGTATGGAATGGTCGACCACTGTTTTGACTATTTTGAACATTAGATTACAATTGCCACTCTGCTTAACCATTTACATAGATAACAAAAGCATAATTGGTTGACGAGACCACCTACGTTTCCTCTGTGCTTGGAATTTTTGCCACATGCTGCCCTGCCAGCTTGGATGACTTGGTCAGATACCCACAGACATGTGGGATCATTTGGTTGTTATGAAAACAACCAAAGGATACAGTCAGTATCAACCAAAATGAATGACACCCCCTACTGGCAAAATTATAAATAAGGCAAACCACCCTCACAGTGACAAAGATATTCTGTTTGTTAACATAAAGGCCTGTGAGTCTGGTAGAACCGCTCAGCCCATATATCTTTTCTCAAATAAGTTTTCAAATGTAACAGTCTAGGCCCAGAGACTCTTGTCAGATATATCAAAAGACAAGACAGTAACACCTAGTAACTAGGAGCATGGTGAATGGAAACTGCACATCATGGATCTAAATTTTGACAATCGGCTTTCCTCATAATGGGCTGACAGCACCAACTGCACCAACTAAAATCCAATTAATTCCAGATATAAAATATTTTACATAACAAAATGTAAAGTGTATAACATTGAGGAGAATCTATTGGCATAAATGGAATATAATATTCATAGGTAGGTTTTCAATAAGAATTGTATTTTCATTACCTTATAATGAGACATTTTTATCTCCAGAGGGAGCGGGTTCTATTGTACTTAGACTGCTATGTTTCTACAATAGCCCAGAACGGACAAACCAAACACTGGCTCTAGATAGGACCATTCGTGTTTTTCCCTGCCACCATAGTTTCACCGAAAGGCTCAGAAAGAAGGTGAGTGGTATTCAGTTGGTTGCAATCTGCAACTTCACCGTTGGATGCCACTAAATCCTACACTCTGGTCATTTAAGTGGTGGCTAAAAGCAAACCAGAGCTATACCCATTTTTAGCTAATTGTACTCTTAATTACCAAGGTGCATTGGTGCACTGTGGCATGTGTGTTTTATTGTGTTTCCATATCTATAGTGTATTGTTATTTTATGATACTGAAAGTTGTACTTAATTGGACTGTTGAAAATTATCTGTAGATATAAAACTCTGTGCAGCACATCAGTTTCATGCTCTGTATCTTAAATGGCGTCTTCCCTATCAAATAATTTAAAAATCATTCAGTGGTAACTGTGCTGGGAAACTGTGCTGTGGGTGTGGAGGGAACAGTGTTTAGTTCTGAATAAAGGGTGGGGAGGCCAGCAGGGGCAAAGTGCAGATGGGGTGGAAGTAGTCAGTTGGATTGCTAGGGTCAGCACAGATTACAGGAAACCAGATGGGAGCAACTCATCCGCCTTTCAATCTCCAGGACTTGGCTTCAGCGCTGTTTGTCTTTTATCATACTTTGAATTATACAAAACTGACATCAGTTTAAAATGCGATGCCAGAACGATTCAACAGGCAGCACAACATGACATTATGAAGTCTGGATATGAGCCATACTGGGGCCTGATGACTTTTCTTATGTTTTATTCAAATTCCTGATCAACAGCATCTGTGCAAAAGACAATTCTGTGTGTTTAATCAGTCACGGCCTGCTGTTGACTGATTATACTTTTGTGGTCGGAGTTTCATTTCAATTCTGCTTCAGAAATGACCACAGCTGTTTTGGTGACAGGTGTAAACAGAAATTGCACATGCCTGACAGTCAAATCAAATCACAAGCAAATGAAATTAAAAACGCAACGTAGGCATTGTAATAGAAACAAATGTGATGCAAAGCTATCTGATTTAATCAAAGACTTTACTAGAATAAATTACCACTGTCACTGAACACTGATCATTTGTAGACAAGCACGAATAGGAGACATTGCTATATACCGTCCAAGCATTTTTTTTTTCTGTCCCCCATGACTCACCCCTTCGACTTACTTGGCATCTTCTCCTTATTTTTCATTTCCTGTCTGTCTCTTTCTATTTCAAATGTCAGTCAACAAACCAGTGTTTCAGCCTATAAGAGCTGTCTGTCTGTATTTCATTCATTATTACCTTGTAGCATGAGGGAAGTTATTACAAAATGAACTGCTCAGGTGTGAAGGTATCGCCCTCCACTGTACTTCTCAGATCAAAGTCAATTAATTCCTGTGGGAGGCAGCATTTGTATAACGATCTTTTCCATTAAATTATACTAAGAAATAATGAATATCTTAGGAACAAAAATTATAGACTTGGTCCTCACAGTTTTACAGGCGCAGTCCGTATTGTTTTATCGCTATAATTATTTTTAATTTAGGTTAAATGCACCAACCGATTGCTTCTCCCTAGCAATTACTGGTCACTTAGTGTTTTACTGAGAAAATGGTTGAGAAGGGTTGGAGTTTCTATGGTAACAGTGACTGCATCCAATTGAGGATGTCACAGCCCCTGCCCTGTCCGAGGTCACCCAGCTTCTAGATAATTAGATCACACAACACCTCCAGTATGAACTGCAGAAGAATTAAATGCCTCAATGAACACAGAGCAAAAATAGCCTAATGTATTTTCTTTATTCACCATCACCAGTTTATAGAAGAGTAACAGATACAGAAGATACTGAGAATACTGAGAAGTGACTTGCCCCGTGTTTTTTGTGCGTACATAATATATTTGTTTTAAAGCATGTTCTACTCACCTTAAAGGTAGTTATTGAGTGGTAGAGGTAATGTTGAACACTAGCTCTTGAAGGCGATGATGAGATTGGGTGAACAGGTGATGTGCAGATCAATAGTGAGCCTGAAAGGAACAAATGATTACTACTGGTAGTGTACTCTGCTACTTTACGGCCCTCTTCAAAAGACCAGCAATCAAGAGGACACTATTCAGCCAAGAGAGAAGTAAATTTATTCACAATGGGGATCCAACACAATAGTCTTAATCATTGTAAGGCAGATGTGTCAGCGGCTGAACCACTTTATTAATTTACATCTCTGCTCACTCACACAAATATCGATGAATTAATAAGTTAGTAAGTGTGTGTGTGTGTGATGTGAAAAAGGACATGACAAGCGACATAATGATTTCTTATTGAGCTCCATTACAAGGACCAATCAATAATCTTGTTTGCTCCACCAGCGTCTTTCATTCTTTGCGCTTAACCATTGCTCACACATTCTTAGGTTTACTTTGGACTTCTCTTGATTAACCTATGATCCTACCAGTATAATTGAATATGTACCATGCTTCTGTATCCTGTGTCTCAGTCTGCAAATGTTTTTTTTTTCTGGGGTGCAACAGGTCAGACTCGAACTAATGGATGCTGCAGCAAGGACTCAGCCTTTTGGTACATGAGGGCACCACCTCTACCAGGTGAGCTATAAGGGCGCCCCCCAGTCTGTAAATGTTAACATGCATTTATCATGATATTACAATTTTCTTACTTAATCATGCTGAGCCAGATATACATTGGGATATTTCTCTACCTGAATATAGTACAGAAATACTATGTATATGTATTTTTTAATTTAGCCTATTTTTGGTCATGGTAAGATTCTGGAGATGAAATGCAATAATGTGGGCCAAGTGCGGTTTGGCATTGTGGGTTTCCTTCATCACAACTAATCTACTAAAGTATCATGATGCTGCAGTTTCAGTTGCATATAGTTACATCTAATTAATTGAGATTAAAGCTAATTAAGCCAAAGTACTTATGTACAACTGAACTATGAAGCATAAAACTAAATTAATTGCCACTAATTATTTCGAATACGTATATTTTATAGTTCCGTCTGAGGACAAGAATTTCATCCTCAATTCCTTCCGAGGCAATACCTACAACTGAGGACACGAGGTCAAGTTCTCTGTAATATTTTGGTGAATTTGGGAAGTTTAATGACATAAACAGATGTTTGTATGATTACAAACAAATTACACTTCCCTAAAATTGAATATTCTTTTTAAAGACTAAATATCTTAAACTTTACACTCAACACAAAATCAATCAGTAGGAATTTAGTATTCTTTACATGCATTACAATGTAGACTTTTAAAAACAACATTTGGACCATAATGTAGGGAGGTACAATTTACAGAAGAACAGTTTACTTAATAAATAATATGTTAAAGTGTGTGCTTTTTAAACACATTGGTATGTTGGCTAGACCATAACTTAATGAGCAAACAATCATTACATTTAAATTAATTCATTAGTGGAATAATATAAATCTACTCTGGATCTGACTGTGTGCCTGTCCCTTTAAACACGGTACCTTTAAACGGTGTTTTCTGCTCAACTACATCTCCCACAATCCCCAGTAAACAGGTGGGTCTGTGGACGTGCTTCATAATCAGGTCAACCAATAATATACAGCCACTGGCGAGCGCGTACTTCGAAATGGCGTCATCTTGTCCAATGAGCGTCCGACATTTTCCAGTTTATAAAATCTGACCAATCGGTGCTGCCGTTCTTCACGCGGACCAATCAAAAGCTTACCATGTAGCAGAGAGGCGTCACCGAGCGCGACCAATCAGATTGAATGTGGCGTTTAAACGTTGAGCGCGGGCGGTCCTACGGTGGCTTTGGGGCGGGTCCAACAAGTGAGGACGCGTGCTTGAATTTGAATTCAGGCGAGAGCGAACAACTTGTTAAGATATTAGTCAACTACTACAGCACAACAGAGGCTGTGAGCAGTATTTGAACACTGTGTGTGTCTTCATTTCTGGTGGGATAGTCCGTAAGCGTGTATGTGTGTAATATCAGGTAGTATCAGGTAGAATCGCCGCTACGTTTAAATCGCTGCTCAGTGCTGTAGCTACGGGCATCGCTGTTTGAGGGAGAGATCACTACACTCGCAATGAAAGCGGGCGGTAAGTAACCGAAGTCAATTTAATCTTACTTTCATAAATACGGGCATGACTTAACGTAAGGATAATTAAGTGTTTGGGGACTTAAATAAAATGCTTGCAATTTCACAGAGTTACCTAACAGCACGGGTAACTTAACTGAGTTAGCTGCTAGCCAACACTAACGTTAACCGGTGTAGCCGTGGATTCTTCCTCAAAGTTACTGTAGTTTCAAATAGGTTAATGCGGGCGATAGTTGTTTAAAACGTCCCCCCTCTTAGCTTTGTACACGTTTGTGGTAATTAAATGATAAAACGTGAAACTTCATGAAACCTAGTCGTAACTTATCGTAGGTTATATTTGAATCTCAGGAGGGAAATTTGGGCGCTCAGTTGGTTTTGACTTCTCCCAGTCAGACGCTGAATTGTTGAATTGTTGTCGAATAGCTGTTAATGCTTACAACACTTGATTAGAAAACGCTGTATGCTCATTTTAAGAGTTCTAGGCAATCGTCTTTACATGAATTTAAACTTTTTTTCGCATTCAAACATAGGGTTTGCCTGAACCACCCGCAGATGCCTTACGTTAGGCGTTTTGAATATGGAGGCATAACCATCACCTTGGTGTGCCTCACTACCAGCTAACATATTTACTGTCCAGTGGCCTACTTTAAATGATGTGCAAATATTAGTTTGACATGAATGTGAGAATTAGTTTGTGAACTCTGCACTAAGATGTGAAATGCCTTTTTTTGTGTGTGTGTGTGTGTGTGCCATTCAAATACATTTCCTACTAAGCTGTATATGAGAACCGTGCAACAGAATTGGGACTGCTGGTTAATATGTATGAATTGTCTGACTTTTAAACTGCTTTTTCCCCTCAGTCGTCCACTGCCGTTGTTCAAAATGCTACTCGGTTCCAGCACGGAAGCGGGTCCGTAAGCGAACTCCAGCCCTTACCTTGCTGTCTCTACCCGAGGAGATCCTCCTGTGTGTGCTCCAGTGCCTCTCTGCTGAGGACCTGCTGTCTGTCAGAGCAGTGAGTAAACATCCTGTACACACTGTAACACTGCTATACACAACCTCTAACATCTATGTACCATGCCGTCCGAGATTTGTTCTGGCTTGGGCGTCTTGTCACCACCTGATTTGAAAGGTCTTTTGTTAAGGGATTACTGTAATTGTTTTAACTTCTGTTACAGGTTCACTCCCAGCTGCGGGACATTGTTGACAACCACTCCAGTGTATGGGCCAGGGTCAGTTTCAGGGACACGTGGCCGTCCCCCAACAGCCTTTGGCTATTTGAAAGGTACAATCAGTTTTGTAAAAAAAAATAAAAAAAGACAAAACAATGACTCATAAATGTATTGTTTTTCTTCTGTTGGGTCATTAACTGAAACACGTCTCTTCTTTCAGAGCTGCTGAGAAAGGGAATTTTGAAGCTGCTGTGAAACTAGGGATTGCTTATTTGTACAATGAAGGACGTAAGTGAAACTCGTGAACTCTATAATTTAACCATTTATTGAAAATGGGCATGCCATGTATGTTCTTTCTTCTTTATGTTGGTTCTGTGTTAGTACCTCTATCTTACAAGGGCATCCTGGGTAAATGAAGGTGAAACAGAAGCGGGGGACATAAATCCCTCTTGATACAAGTGATTACAGCTCTTCTCTTGTGCCTTGTTTCTCTCCAACAGCGTTGTTAAGTGATGAGGGGCGAGCGGATGTGTGTGGTCGCAAGGCCTCCCACTTTTTCAGCCTGGCAGAGAGCCTGCGCTCTCCTTTGGCAGATCCCTTCATCTGGGTGTTCATCCGTCCACCATGGTCGCCCACCGGCAGCTGCTGCAAGGCTGTGGTGTTCGACCGTCTCAAGGCTGAGTGTGACACCAACGTGGTATGTTTTGCTTTTGACATTGTAGAGGGCAGACAAATGCACTTCCTTTTTAACCAACACAACACAACAAAAAATTAAACTGCATTAATTTTGTATCAACAATTATTTTAAATCCTTCCTTCTCTCTAGTTATTAATGCAAATTTTAGGTCATTGGCAATGAGAATATAATTGAGAAAATCTTTAAAAGTCAGGCAGATTCCTACTGCTTAGTGGCCCTTATATGCCTGGTTTTTCAGGTTCAATGTGTTCGTATTGTCATGCTTAAAGGGGTCAGTCATTTTGGAGAAAGAGTTGATTTTTGAGTTTCGTTCCCAGGTTGTCAAATACTGGCACGCCTTTTTTAAGAAAAACGTAATAATTAACTAAAACTAAAAATAATAACCTACACGGAAGATAATAATTAAAGTGTTCATTAATTTATTTTTATTTTCCTTTACAGGAGAAGAGAGGACCCTTGTTGCACTGTTTGGCAAGAGTTTTGCAGCTGTTTGAGGTGAGCGTGAAAGTGAGACTGAACCTGGCTGTTTCTGACTGGGTGTGGTTAGCCCAGTTTCTATTAGCCTCCAATCAAAGTGTATCGCCGTGTGCTGCTGTCACAGGGGGCTTGTCTGGCTAGTTATTAACAGCACAGATGGGATAATTGTTTGTTCTACTCTTCATATGTCACAGCTCTTGCCTTACGGTCCCTGTTGAGTATTCACTCGCAGCCCTGGTGTACTTTGTTATTTATGATTATTTATGATTTCACACCACATATGCAGAACTCTGGTTTGTTTTTCAGGATCATGGCACACAAGCATTTATGTGTGAAGGGGAGATTGTTTGACCGCTTCGTTAGGAACAGAACGTTCTGTCAGTTTGCTTAGCAAAAACTGTCATTCACATCTGGAACTGTGCTCTCTTTTCCAGGACGATGAAAGACACTCTAATGCCATATCTATGCTGGAGCAGTCGTCACAGGCTGGCTGTCTACAGAGCTCCTACCTGTTGTGGGAGAACAACCGGAAAGCAGCCGTGAGTCTGAATCTCTTTCAGTTTTCTAAGCAGAGTTATTCTTAGATACATTAACCTTATTGATTCAGGCTGTACATTCCCCATGCCAAACTCGAACATTGACACATTTGTTCATAGTATAGTACATATAGTTGACAGTGCGTGTTTTATTGTGTGTAGAAAATAACCGCGTTTGTTTTTTCATATTTGTCTTTTAGATGGCAGATCCAGGCAGGTACCTCCAGTGTGTCCGAACCCTTAGAGACTATGCTGGCAAAGGATGCTGGGAGGCACAGGTGTGTGATCAGAGGCCAAAAATTGTCATTACACTGATCCAGCAGCTTATTTAGTGTGTGTTCTTGTGCATTTTCAGATTGATGGCCTTATTTGTCAGCCAGCAGCTTTATCAAGCTTTATGTCTTTGACAGCTTTTCATCTCTTGTGTTCTTGTTTCATTTCTTTTCATTTCCCACTCATCTAATTGACCAGATTTGGAACTTACTGAAGCACTTCAGGCAGTGTCAAGAGGCCTTGACAGTTGTTGACTTACTGTGTTTTCTTTTGTTCATGGCCTTTTTTAAAGCTTTGCTTTTTGAATCACAAATATGACTCATCCGAATCACAAGCTCAGTAGTTACATCAGCAGTCTATTGCAATACTCAACCTTATAGTTGTCTGTGTAGTGTGACCCAATTCAACAAGCTGTCAATTCATTTTAAACTATTTTGAAACATCAATTGAACACTTTCTTTCCCTCAGCTCTCCCTGGCCAAAGTGTGCAGCAGTGGGAATCCGCTTGGTTTGGAGTCAAAAGCCTGTTCTGACTTAGTAGCTCAGCTCTTCAGTTCCTCCAACCCGGCTTCACGACACTGCACGCAGGGCATCCTCAGACGAGGCATCAAGGACACCATGAGGTAGACGGGAACATAAACATACTATGATCTTACTGACATGATTACAGTCTGTTGGTGAATAATATCATTCCACACAATTAAATACTCCGGTTAGTCATTGTGAAGACATGATTTAATTACATCACTAAAGAGTAGATGAAACAGAACACCAGCATCAGTCAATTTATCTGAATAAATTCAAACCCTTTTCCCTGTGAACATATCGCATAGCCTTCAGGCAGATTTTAAGTTTCGTTTTGCCCATCAGTGTCTACTAATTTGGGATTCTTAGGCAAAGGACTTTAATCTTTTGCTTTTTTTGTTAAATGCTCATGGTCCTCAATTTCTACTCTTCTACCCTTCCAGGTACATCTTGGTGGACTGGCTCGTAGAGGTGACCACCATGAAGGATTTCTCCAGCCTGACGCTGCACGTGACAGTGGGTTGTGTGGACCGCTACTTGGCTCTGCGCTCTGTCCCCAAGGCTCGCCTCCAGTTATTGGGAATCGCCTGCATGGTAGTTTGTACACGGTGAGAATGCACATTGCCTATTTTCTGAAATGTTTGTATATTTTCCTTTTTTAATGTAAAGGTTCTAATACATCTGAAGGGGAAACTAATGATCCGTTGTTTCGAACAAACATAAAATAGTTGTTGATGCTTTCTTTTTGAACTTTTAAGACAATGTTTGGTTCTCTTTTATTTTTCAGCTATATCAGTAAAGAAATCCTGACAATACGCGAAGCTGTCTGGCTCACGGACAACACCTACAAATATGAAGACCTGGTTCGAATGATGGGAGAGGTTGTCTCTGTGCTGGAGGGAAAGATCAGGGTACGTCAAATATCCTTCTGTATTATAGAATATTTAAGTGCAAATGAATGATTTTGATTATGTACTGAATTTGCTGAATGCCCCCCTCAGAGCCCCACACTGCTGGACTACGGGGAGGTGCTGTTGTCTCTGCTCCCTCTGGAGAGGCGGACCGCTCACCTATTCAGCTACATCTGTGAGCTGTCGCTGCTCTACTCTGCTCTCGCCACACCACCACCTTCCAAACTGGCCTGCGCTGCACTACTGCTTACACGAGCACTACATCACTATGGTAATAAAACTTTGTTGCCACACACCACACGCCTGTTTGAAAAGATGCATTGTGACACCCCTTTAACGCTGACACGTAATGCAAATAATCTTTTCAAACAAATAGAATTTACGGCTTTAGTTGAGTGTTGCGTTTATGTTCACCTTGACTTATGCCTGTGGTCTCCCTCCCTCTCTGCAGCTCCCGTGTGGCCTAGCCAGTTGGTTAACTACACAGGCTTCTCCAAGCAAGACCTTGTCTCCTTTGCTGTGCTGCTCTATGTCAAATGGTAAGCTTCTAACACTGTGTGTTTGGTAGTCAAGACATTCATGTCTCTCCTCATCCTTCTGCATCACCCAGTCCATCAGGTCACATTCAGACATAGAGGCATCCATGTGCATCATAGCACACTCAAACCTTTTCTTTTTCATTAGTTCAGTTCGAGGGAGGCGATCAGGCATGATGCAATCAGTTCTAATAAGAATTACATTGGTTGTTGTTATGACCTTGGAAGAGGAAGAACCAGCATAGAGGTTGTGTATATTCTTGAAGGGCACATTTCAAAGGCACTTCATCTGTTGTGACCCCTGGTGATAAATGTAATCAAAAAAATAATAGTTTTTGAAGTGGGCATATCTATCTAGCTTTTGATTAGCCAGGTTAGTGATTGAAATATGTTCTGATTGCGATGCACATTATGTTTCTCAGTTGGTTACTCGTACTGTAGGCAGCAAAGTTCCTGCTAAACCATTGATTATTTGTTATTTTCTAAAAGGCTGACACATGTTAAGCACAAAGAAATGATGTGCATTTACTTCAAAATGGTGTTAAACCAAACACACCTTGGCACTTCTTGACTTGTGCTGTGTATTTCTAATGTAAATTATAGGCCATTATCTGCATTTTGTGGACCTATAACTCCTGAAGTGAAGTTGTGTGCTAAAGTGGCTATTAAAACTCCAAAGTCCTCTAGTATTATCCATACAGTTTATATAAAAGCCCATTGTTATTGTTGCCAAGGAAGGTTATGCCCTCTTTTTTTTTTTTCTCCATTGATTTTTATATATATAGTTTATTTCCTTCACAGCAGGAACAGGCAGATGATGGTGAGATAGAATTGACTCCAACACTTGTTCCAATAGATAAAATGCATGCACATGTTCAGTTTTTTGGCTTTTGAACCTTTTAAAACAATCCATGGTCGACTCAGCCACTTATCAAAGGTTGCATATTTCAAGAACTCTGAGTTCTTCAAGCAAAGAGTTTTTTCACCTTCACAGGTTGTTTAATTTGAATATTTTTAAAGGCCTGGTTAGGTAAAACCACCCCATATTCCCAAAGATAAAATAAATAAATAAATGTCCCAAAAAGTAAATAGAATTTATGCATTTTTGTCTTCTTTCCTAACTTGATTGTGTGATTCGATCTGTGACTATGTGGTGTCCCAGGTTATTACAGTTATTTAACAGCAGCTGTACTCTCACTCATACTGTGATCACATTAGACTGGTTTTAAGTGTTTGGCATCATTGACACATTGTCCTCATTGTCCACATTGTCAAACCTGAACTGTTTGATAAAGGTGACCACTGGATAAAACATAAGCATCAAAACAAGTACACACAGACTTCTGATAACTAGTATAATTTATTCAGCCATTTATTTACTGTACAGCAGCGTTTTAAAGCTTCTGGAAAAGGAAAAATATTTTTACTCTGAGCTATATAAAACATCACAAAAAAATGTTCCAGTCCGTGTTCTAATTAGTTACTGTACCATGGCAGCACTTTCCCTTATGAAAAAGGATAACAAGAATTGATTTGTGATGTGTCTGGCTGTTTTCAGCATGCTCATATAGCCACATTTATTAGATATAAGATTGTATATAATGCCTGGTAACCAAGAAAATGGATGGCCATTAAGGTTTTAAACATTAAGCCCAGAGAGAGCTGCAGCCATAAAAGACTGTAGGAGGCATTTGGGCTGCAGATCCGGGGGTGGATGGGGGGAGGGGAGGGACTGTGTAACCATCAGTGAATCACCAACTGAGTCACAGAAACGTGCCTCAGGGTGAGTCACATTGATAGGTGAGCATCGCATCGACAAACTGTAATTCTCAAATGGACAAGTAACGAGATTTGTCCCCAAGAGTTGATTATAGAGATGCAGCAAGCAAAGTGGATCCAACTCAGTCATTTTTCTTGTCTCTGTTTTCCCCCCTGCTCTTTGCCTCTCCCCAGTTTCAGTCAAGATGTTCCCAAAGATTACAGGCACGTGTCTCTTATGGGCGTTAAGCAACGGTTTGAAGATGAGGCCTACCAGCACATCAGCAAAGAGAAGGTACTTGACTTATTTATTTATTTTTTTAATTGCTGGTATAGGACAAAACCTCTCTGTACTAGACTTTACTTTTATTATTGTTTTGTTTTTAAAACCAGAGACATTTCTAAATTGTAGCACAGCATGTCTCTCAAACCGCAAATTGACTTTATTTTATGTCCTCCACAAGGTGATGGACTTTAAAGAGCTGTGTCAGATCTTGGAGATTCCTGAGGTGGAGCCCCAGATGGAGCCTCCCAGTCCCACTGGTCAACCAGCAGACATCCACACCTTCCTCGCCTCTCCATCTAGCACCAACAAGAGGTAAACCAGTTACCAACACACAAGTTCACCATGTCAACACATTAGGTTTGCTTGATATAATAAGAACAGCAAATGGCTTTAAGACACATTTAGATATAAAACACGTTCGCTGTGTTTCTATCTGATTGTCACGCAAATTTGTCTACACGAGTCTTGGCTAACGCTCACTCAATTGCGAATGTTAGCCTCCGATATTTGGCTGAAAAAATCTTTTCCCTAAATGTCACAAAATAAGTATGCGTTACTGACTGTTTGGCTAGCTAGCTAAGGTTTCTAGGTAACTTTAGCTTGTGATGGTTGGAAGCGTCAAGCGTTAAACATCGCTCTACGCACAATGAAGATGAAGAACACAGAATACTGTTTTTCTATAGTGCCTTCACATTTTAACCAACACATGGTGCTGGTGAGCTTTTCAGCCATTTTATCTTCATTTCCAACCAAGCTGCCCCGCTGTAACTGTAGTTTAAGAAAACATTCCAGATGCTTACACCCAGCTGGAGGTAAACGTGATACACTGGTGGAAACGCTGCTGTAGCTCCCAGCTTTACAGCACATATTATACATCAAATCATTAGAACCTTAGTAGTTAGGGCACCTGTGGGACAAGACTTGAAAGACACGCAAAGAATTCACTTATGAGAAATGACTCACTAACTGACAGCAAAATGACCAGTGCCCCCACCTCTTTCCTTGCTCATTTAGCAGTTCTTATCGGTCTCCTGTGCTACGTGACAACGGACGTGTGGACCATCTTGTCCAGAAGGTGTTTGTTTGTGCCATCTGCGAGATGCTCCAGTGACTCACTGTAACAACGCTGCTTCTCTACTTTCTCCCAAGGAGACGCGATGACACCATGCAGGCCCACAGAGCAGGCTTTGTGACCACGCCCACAGCAGAGCTGTCCAATCAGGAGGAGACGCTGCTGGGCGACATCCTGGACTGGAGCCTGGACACTTCCTGCTCTGGTTATGAGGGGGACCAGGAGGAGGAGAGCGAGGGAGAGAAAGACTGTGATTGTGAGTTTTGAGAAAGAGAGAAAGGGACTGGTCACATTTATTCTTTACTAACAGACTCCCAAAGGTGTTTTTCCCGAAGTATATAAATGAACTAATACATATATAGAGGAGAAAAATGCATGAGTCAGTCTTCCATTAGGGAATTATGTGACTAGAGATGACTCAGCTATTGCAATGTCCAGCATAATAAACCAGTACATACATTTAGGACTTGTTATTGTGCAGGCTTACTGTTGTGGACAAATGAGGATGGATGATAGTAGCTGTACTGAGTGTGTGTGTGTATGTGTGTGTGTTGGGGTCTGTAGTTATGTGTAAAGCTTGCCCAAAATAATTCGCTGTTACAAACTCTGACACCACTTCTTCTCTTTCAATAGCTTCTATGATACCCATCAAACTGCACCTGTTGACTGATGAAGACAAAAAACTAGAGCACTGCAGAGCCCTGTCCAGCGACGAAGACAGCTTCTGTGAAGCAGACAGGCAGGTGAGGAGGGATCCCCATGGCCAGGAACCCCTTTCCTTCTCTTCAGGATACTCCTCTGTCCAGAGTGTTAGCCCCTCATCCACATGCTGCTCCTCCTCCTCCTCCTCCTACCCCCTCATGCCTTGCACATTCAAGACCATTACCGGTTCCCTGGGCGCAGCCTCTGCCAGTGCCCAGCCGGGCTTCCGTCTTTTGGTGCCCATGCAGAGGCCCCGGGGCACCTCCAGCAAACAAGTGAAGAGGAAGAACTCAGCGGCTCATAGTGGAGGTGAGGTGGAAAGGGAAGAGGGGGAAGGGAAAGGAGACAAGTATTCTGCCAATGCAGGGTTTCTGAGCTTGTAGACATTGGTTTGTTCGACGGTCCTCAGGCTGTTCACAGACCCCCTGCGCACTTTGTTCTCAATGCTGTTCTTCACTCCTGTCCATCTGCACGGGGCCATCAATTGCCAAAAGATCAACAGACTTTGAGCCTAAGGGGAAACGAACAAGATAAATATGAATTATCTATAAACTTGCCTTTCTATTACGTTACATTTCATTTTCATGTTTACAAGCATGGCACAATAACATACCTCCCATAAACAAAGACTTGCAGTCAGCTCTGAAACCACTGGAACATGACTTGACTTTCCTCAGGACCCTGGTACAATTTCTGCTGTTTTACAGCCTTCTACAACAACCTATCTCAGCTCACATTAGATAGTTGTAAAAGAAATGAATTCTCATGGACTTATTTTGGAAGGAAACATTTTCATTGTTAAGATCATATTGTGGAAAAAAACGTAAACACAGCTGTCATGTTATTGTGATTGTTTTGGTTATCATAGTTTCTGATATGCACTGTCTGTACAAGAATCTATCTTGTAGTTGGTGAATGTCATCAATAGGTGACTACTGTTATCTATTTGATGGAAATGTCTGCATCTGAAGCCTTAAAGAAAAATGATTGTATGAATTCCTCTTGTTCAGCTTTGTCCTTGGTTCTATGTATGTTTGCCAAAGGTACTGTGGCGTTGTCATTTGTGTTTTCAGGGGAGTCTACACTCAGAGCTGTGAAATGAGTCTTTTAGTAGTCTGAATCTTCTACAATCTTGTACATATACACCAGTTGTGCTGTTGATAATATTTTAAAAGACCTATGGCACACTAATCCCATCAGGGACAGCAGATAGACTTTAAGATGTTAACTGTTGGAATATTGACACACTGTTCAATAAGGAGTGCTGATAATGGAGTTAACCAAGAATCACCAGCTGAATGAGTGTCGTACAAACCTCAGTTCATCATCCAGATGTTTAGTGCTGCACAGTCATTAACTATTCGGTTCATGTAATGAGGCACCCGATGCAACCTGAACCTAACATGCTGATGTGTTGTACTTTGCCCACTTTTACTCCAATCTGAATTAGGTCTAGCACTTTTATCATCACGGAAGGAGGGCAATTCCAGGAGATGTAACCAGTTCCACGCTTGAACAATCAATACTAAAGTATTTTTGAAATGGATTTGCTTTGCCTTCTTGGAGCGAAAGGGAAGTTCAGACACTAAAGGAAAATATTTGATGGGGTTGTGAAAGTACTGTATGCCTCATTCAAGACACTGAGTACACAACGTATAAAGGATTGTGACTGACTCATTTTTAACTGTTACGTCAGACTGGTTAACTCCTGTGTTTTTATTAATGTACATAGTACTATATGTATAAATGGAGAAAGACAAAGAACATGCCACTACTTGAAAATGTTTTTGCTTCATTCCAAAAAGGCAGTTTTCTTTGTGAAACCTCTGTTTTTCTCCAGTACAGTGTTTTCTCAATAGACCTGTGATGTGAATATGTAATTTTGTACTGAGTTTGAATAAAACAAGCCATCATGCAAGTTTCCTTTCATTGTTCATTTTCAGATACCAGAGTTTAATTATTTGTAATATATTTACTCTTAAAATCCTTATTCTCTAATTGCCTTCAGCAAAACTTTTAACAAGAATCTAAAGGCTTATTGCAGTCTTCTGTATTTTTTTTTCCCCCAAATGGGCTATTTTTCATGGACTTGAGGAGAATCATAAGCAACTTGAATCTTTTCTCTGGGGAAAAAATAAATGTGGCTAGCTGGAAGATATCTGTAGAATGTATTTATGTTTGGGTTCATAGATTAGAAGGTCTAGCTTGAGTTGTGTTCAAGAGCTCATTAAAATCAGAAGGCGCTATTACTCATGCTGGTACCCATAGAAGAAATACTAAGGCTATGAATAGAAACGCTACAAACAAATCCTGTTGAAAAAGAGTACCATTTTTTGGAATTCAATTCAGTTAACTCTAAGTCAATTATAGTTTCTGAAGTTTTATATAGAGAGAGCTGTCCTTTTAAAACAACAAATGCAATAAAGGTAATTCAACTCCTGACTGGAATAACTCAGAACCTTTCCTCTATTTTCCCAATAGGTAGAACTTCCAAGGAAATTACTTTTAATTAAAGTGTCTGGAAAAGCAGGGAAGGTCTAATTAAAGGACACCATTGACACAATTGTGGGATCCAGCTATTCTGATCATTCTTGTGACCAGTGTGTAGGATTTATTGTCACCCTCCCATTCCAAGTGGGTAGGAGAAACTATGGTGGCTGCAAAACTCATGAAAACATGAAAGGATCTATTTAGAGCCAATGTCTGCTCTGGGCTACTATTGGCGTAGAAGAGGACCCGCTCCTACTGTGGATAAAAATGGCTCATTCTGAGGTAACAGAAACACATTTCTTTTTTTCAGGTCATTATACAAATGAAAACATACCTATGAATATTATATAAAATTTCTGCAAACAGATCCTCCTAATTGTTACACGTTGATTTAACTTCTGAAATCTGTCTCTTGAAAGTTCTCCAGCTCATTGAAAGTGCAATATAGAGTACATCTTTAAAGAGAAACAAGCAATGGGGAGGAAGCATTTTCCTGGATAAATGGACCAACATGTTTTATTATCTAAAGGCATACTGCACATAAAACTTTTTT